CCTCCATCCAAAAAGGGCCAAGATCCTCTCTTTTTCTATCTCCTCTTTCTACAGTCCTCCAAAACTCTATGGTTAGCTAGTGGTTAGCTCTGCCCTCTGACTCCAAGCAATCAAAATATCAGAACACAATCAAAATATCATACAACAGGTACCTATGTTGTGAGAGTGACCCATGAGAACTATGTTGTGAGAGTGACCCATGAGAACTACATACAGATTGCTATTCCTGAGACACCCATAACAGAAATGGTCACACAGTATGACCAGGGTGGTGTGGATGGTAGGCTCTATTGAGGGGAGAAGGGAGGAATTTCCCCAGAATGACTGAACCCCTGAAAGGTAATGACCTGCCTGACATATGGGGTGGAGGGGAGCAGTGCCCTCCAGTAACCTGCCCTGTATATGTCTGCCCAATGGAGCCTACTGGCTTGACCAGGCCCTCTATTGTTTCCTCTCTCAGCCTTCACATCCGGCGGCGCTGAGCTGACTTCCTTTCAGGGAACTCATGTAAGGGATGTGTGGCCAGGCATGTCTGTTCCCAGTGTTCTCAGCCCTTTGAAGGTGAGGTTGGGGGACTCATTTGCTGTGTTGGAGCTTGTCTTTCTCATGTTTTGGAGGAGGGCCCACAGAGATGGCTGTGTGACAGATACAGATACTTGGGTGTCTGGGCCTAGGCCCAGGACCTACTGCTTTGTTCCCGTGTGGCTGGGGCTGGGGTCTCCTTTAGGAATCCAGAAGGGCTGAGAACTGTGTCTTCTTGGGAGTACCCCCCTGTCTTCTGACCATAGTGAGACACAAGCTATCCAATTCAGGTAAGGCTGGGACTTGGTAGCTTGGTGTTGGATGCTTGGCCAGGATGCAGGGGCAGGGGCAATGGTCAATATTGGTGTTAAGCCAGCCTTGTCTCATATGCCCAGTTAGGCTCTGTTATAGCATCTGAGACACAAGGTCCTCAGTAATTTTGTTTCGGTTTCTGGAGCAAGTGTTAGTAATCAAATTGACTATAGAGCATCATGGGGAATAGCCAGAGACCATACATTTGGCTGACATAGTAAAGGTCAATGAGGTCACATTGAGGTCAAAATGGGGTAGGGAGGAGAGAGGAGCTGTCTGGAGTAGGGAGCTCATAAAGCTGTGGTATGGATGGGTGTATGGCTACCTCCCAGTCTGAGTGAGGAGGGGTTGTACAAGATGCATCAGCCAGGGTTCTCCAGGGAAACTGAAGCAGCAGAGGGTGTGTAAGCACACGCAGGGAATGTGCAAGCACACATCTATAGACAAATGTTACTTTAAGGAATTGGCTCATGAAATGATGGGACTGTCTTAGTTTAGGATTTCTATTGCTTCAACAAAATGCCATAACCCAAAAGCAAGTTGGGGAGGAAAGGGTTTATTTGGCTTACTCTTCAGCATTGCTGTTCATCACTGAAGGAAGTCAGCACAGGAACTCAAACAGGGCAGGATCCTGGAGGCAGGAGCTGAGGCAGAGGCCATGGAGGGGATGCTGCTTACTGGCTTGCTTCCCCTGGCTTGCTCTACCTGCTTTCTTATAGAACCCAGGACCACCATCCCAGGAATGGTGCACCCACCATGGACTGGGCCCTCCCCCCATTGATCAATAATTGAGAAAATGCCTTGTAGCTGGATCTCATGGAGGCATTTCCTCAACTGAGGCTCCTTCTTCTCTGGTGACTCTAGCTTGTGTCACGTTTCAGACTTCAGGTTTGAAACCTGCAGGGAAGTCTGCAAAGCAAATGATAGACTCCTCTCCGCCTTGTGGACCTCAGTCTCTTTTTGCAAGATCTCACTACCTGTTCTAGGGAGGATCATCTGCTCACACGTGAACACTACCTTCATGGCAGCATCAAGACTATAGAGTCTGGGTACTGAGACTCAGCCAAGATGATAGACAACAGAAACGGTGGCAGGAGGGCCACTGAGAATGGGGGTGGGGCTCGGGTGATCCCCATCAGGGGTGGACTCCCTCTTCTCTCTTCCCTCATCTTGTCCTTTCTTCTGTCTTTTTCTCCCTTCTCCTCCTATAGTCTCTCCTCCCCTCCCATCCAGCTTCCGGATGAGTCAGTGTGTGGACAGAGTGGAACATTCATGTTAGGAGCTGTGACGTCTTTGCTGCCTCCTCCCTGCAGTCAAGGCTGTAAATTCTGTGTAATCCCCAGGAACAGTGTCTTGTCCAGGTAAACACTGCAGGGTGTGGGGCCAGTGGAAGAAGGCCCAGGGTGTCTGGGATCCTGTCCACTGTTGGTTTCAGTTCTAGTCTAACTTAAGGACTGGGGAGGCAGCCTGCTGTCCAGCAGGGTTCACCTGTGACTGGGTGAGGCAGCCATTCTTACCTTGGTCACCATATCCTTGTGGCGGACAATGGCACTGCCCACTAGCTTCCTCAAAGTATTGATGTCTCCTCTCTTTCACTGTAGTCTTTCATGCCCTGAGGAAAAGCTGCAAGGAGGTGGGGTAGGGGCCTCTGGGGCCAAGAGTAGGAAACTGAGCTTCAAGGTCTGCGATGGCTGCCCATCAGACCTCAGCACAGAGAAGGGATCGATCAGGTGGATAAAGTCATCATCTTTGTGCTTACCACATTCAGTATGGCCTGAGAATCTGTCTACATGTGTGTTGGCCTTTGTGTGGCCACTCAGTGCTTTCCAGTTCATGTTTATCTTATTGCAAAGCCTTGGCCTGCCCCCAACCTTGGCTGTCCTTGTCTTCATCCTTCATTACCAGAGTTGGTGGCTGAAAAGCAGGTGATGAAGCCATTTGAACTTGACAGAACCCTCACTGCCATTTGCCCTTACACCAGCTCCTTAAACCACTAGGGTTACGGCTTGGCCACTGTACCCAGTCATATGTTGGGCTGTCTGACATCAAAGCTCACATAAATCGCTTGATATCTGGCAATGGACCCAGAGGTCATCACCACTGCTTCATCTAATGGGAATACAGTGTTGACCTCTACCCAGGGGTGTCCCAGGGAGAACCTACTTCTTCTATCCAGGGAGGACTTACTTCGTCCATTCAGAGAGGACCCAGATTCTCAGAATTCAGCTGGGTGTCTGTGCTGGACATCACGAGTCTGGCCAGGATTTCTCTGACTCCCTTCATAGCAGAGAGAGCATGGCATAGAAAACCACAAGTTTTTGGGGCCTGGTCCATCCTTGGGTTTCCCTGGGGCATGGTGCCAGCCTGAGGGGCCCACCTATAGGGAAGTCAAACAATGGTTTCCTTGGACCAGCTGGTCTAGTTCCATAATCCCTATTTTTTGGGCTCAGGCTACACTCAGGTTCTCCCACATGCCTGAGCTACATACAGTAGGGAGGACAGAAAAAGCTGGAGCTGCTGGGAACAGTGAGATGGGAAGAGTGTTTTCCACACATGTCCTGGCTGGCGGTCACTCTTATTTTTGATGTCTTTGTACTGCATAGACCCCTTTCAGGCTCCAGCTGGGATGGCGTGCAAGTTCTGGTGGTCTAAGTGGGTGACATCACAGGACTGGTTCTATCACTAACAGTACTGTTTCTCTAGCCCAGGATGTGGCTTTTGTGCAGAGCCTGGAAGGGCAGAATGATAGCCTAGGAAAGGAGATACCATTCACCATTTAGGGAGCCTGTGACCATTTAATGCATTTTTTCTCACTCATTTCTGGAACTTGGGGACTGAATTGGAGCTTGAGGTACCTTGTGACCAAATTCACTGTGTGTACTCTACCCAAAGTCAGGACCTATCATTGTTTTCAGGAAGATGAAAATATGGAGTTGGGGGGGTTCCCTAGATCTCAGTTTACACTCCAGCTCCAGCATGGATGGCCACCTGTGCATCTCCACTCTTATGTGAACCTTGGGAACTGGTGTGTCTCATAGGTGCATGTTTGCAGTTTTTTATTTTCCCCAGCTCCAATGCTGCATCCTGATTGTGGGAGTCATTTCCAGACACTGGCGAGGCAGCTGCAGCTTTGGGTTAAGCCCAGGGGAACTGAGGATCACCAGGGCCCCTGCTCTTCTGGGGGCAGAAACACATCCTTGAATATTAGCTGTGGCTGGGGAATAGGACAGCTGCCTGAGCATACATGTCCTTAGGAGGAGTGTTAGCCTCAGGAGACTGCAGGGATGAGACCTGCTGGGGCTGGGGCTGGGGCTAACCTCTCTGCTCAGACAGACCCCATTCTCCCAGAGTGGCCACTCCAGGCCTCAGGCCACTTGCTCTTGCACCAGGGAATGTGATTCCAATAAGGGTTGTTGCCTGGGCTGAGGGCTGTCCAAGTTCTAATTACATGTAATTCCAGAGACTGGCAGAGCCTGGGAAAATAAAGGGATTAGAGAGCGGACTTAGCTGGGCCCTGCAGAGTACAGCAGGCTCCCCAGGGACAGATGGCCCCAGTCCCCACTGCTCCTTGCCTTTGAGGTGGATCATGGACTAGGGTCAGATGCCCCTCTCTGGAGTCTTGATTCCTGCCACACTGGTGACATGAGCTGAGGTGCTTCGGGAGTCATGGTTGTCTCAGCCTATGCGACTCGTGGAGAAATAGACGAGAAGTTGGTAGACTTGGAGGCTCCTTATTCTGCCTGGGCTGTATTGGAGTGTGCTGGGCTGGCCTGGGGGGGGCAGTTAGGGGGATATGGCAGAGCTTCATGGGATGTAATTCCTGCAGGGACCTTCTGCCTCTCCCAACCTGAGACTGGCTTGGCTTGTAACTTAAAGAAATGGAGTTCACTTGGGGTGTGTGCTGGCATTGGGATAATTGAGGCTGTGACATCCTGAGGAAGGCCAAGTTTACCCAGGGAGTCATATAAAGATAAACTTAGATAACCCGAATCAATATTTCCTTACGGGGACCCAGGAGCCCCCACAGCTGTTTTCCTGATAACTCAGCAAATGCCCCACCCACCCTTTGCACCTCCCTTGTCCTCCCGCCCTCGGATGCCTGCTGGGCATATAAGTCCTGGACCCCTGTCCTGGGATGCTCTCCTGTGCCACCCTCCTGAGCCACCATGGGGCTGCCACTAGCTCGTCTGGTGGCTGTGTGCCTCGTCCTGGCCTTAGCCTGGGGCTCGGAGCTCCAGAAAGGTAAGGGACTGGGTGAACTGGGCTGGGAAGCCCAGGGCATTAGTAAGGGGTGCCTGAAATAGGAGGTGGTCCCCAGTCAGAGTCACTCCAGTTGGACTGGGGTCTTGGGTCTCTCACCATTACTCTGAGGTTGAACATTCAGGGTTCTGCACCAGGTGGACGAGAAGCTGGAATCTCTGAGTGACCATTGTCCGTGGGAGTGGGGGAAGCATTGGATATCTAGGAGAAGCCAAGTTTAGAACAGCTCCAGATATAAGGGAACCTTCTTCAAGACAGTGCCTCTGGGGAATGGGCTATGTCCCATCCCATCAGGACAAAGCTATGGGTGGGAGATGTCCAAGTGGGGACTCCTGAAGAATGAGGGACCCAGCCCAGTCTCTTGAAGGGGTGGGTGGAGGGGGACTAAATGGAGCATCAGTCGAGGGCAGGTAGGTGTACAGGTAGACAGTGACCAGACTGCCCAAAGGCCTCTCTGCCTTTACTACCTGCTTGCATTCCACACTAGCTAGCACCCTGTCTGAGAGTCTCTGTAGAAGGGTCACCAATATTTAGCAGACTACTTATGCAGGGGACACCATCTTGGCCAGAAACTCCGGTCTGGAGCCCCACATGTGTAACCCTGGGGTTGACTTGGAGAATGGGCTTAGGGGAGCCCTCCTGGGACTTGGGTGTCTCACCTTGAATCCCTACTGCTCTCCCAGAAGCCAGATCCCGAAACCATGTCTGCAGCACCTGGGGCGACTTCCACTACAAAACCTTTGATGGCGATGTCTTCCGATTCCCTGGCCTCTGTGATTACAACTTTGCTTCTGACTGCCGAGACTCCTACAAGGAATTTGCTGTGCACCTGAAGCGGGGCTTGGGCCAGGCTGGGGGTCACCCCCAGATAGAGTCCATCCTGATTACTGTTAAGGACGACACCATCTACCTCACCCACAAGCTGGCAGTGGTGAATGGGGCCATGTGAGTGGGATTAGTAGCTGTCTCCCGTTACCCAGCAGCTAGAGGTTGCTTCTGGCTCCTTGGAGCAAGTTCACCCCTGAACAATTTGTATAAATTAGCCAGCCTCCATGATACTCTCTTCTGCTCTGCACATGGCTAATAGGAGTGCTGTGAGGTTTAAGTCCCCTCTGTAGACAAGGGTCTTGGGTGAATGCAAGTCCCCTGAAGACTTTCCCTGGGGGCCAATTCAGTTGGAATGGCTGCCAGAGCCTGTCCTCCAGGCTAAAGTTGCAGAAGCTCAGAAAGGAGCAGCTGCTTGGCCAGCCCTATTGTTCCCTGGCATTGTCTGTAACAATGAGGTCCTCTTAAATGCATTCCTGTTTTGCAGGTTCACCCTGCTGGGGATTTGCTCTTTTCCTGCGGCAGGGGTTTCTGGGTCCTGCACTGGGCTCTGCCAGCGTTCCCTTACTTTGCCTGGTCTGCTGGACCATGCTGTCATGTGTGGGTTGGGTATGAGGGATGGGGTTCAGAGGATGGGGTTTGGCAGTTCCAGGCCAACACAGGAGTGGGATGGAGTCCTGGCATTAGGACAGCTCTGGATAATGGTCTGGGCTGGAGTTGAGAGTCCCACCTGGCAGATTTTGTGAGCAAATACCTCTGAACAAAGGGCTTGGAGAGGGTTGGGCACTCAGTTCCCAATATATCCCATCCTTTAGGGCTCCTGAGAAGGGCCTATGTTTTGGACTCAGAGAGGGTATGGGAAGGAAAATAGGCAGGAGAGCCTGGCCCTGCTCCAAGGAAATCAACCTCATTCTGGACAAGGGTTCTCTGGCCATTGCCAAGGCTTCTGCCTGACTCTCTGGCCTCTTCCTGGAGCTTGGCTAAGTCTGTGGCCCCAAATGAGAACATGCTGACCAACTAAGGAGCCAGGCTGGGGCTGTCTTCACCCAGATAATTCCTTCAGGACCATGTGGACAACAGAACCCTCAGGAGGGCGAGTGGGTGGGTTCTGGTATGGTGGTTTGGTGAGTGACCCCATAGTGGTCCCCACAGGGTCAGCACCCCACACTACAGCTCCGGGCTCCTCATTGAGAAGAACGATGCCTACACCAAGGTCTACTCCCGTGCCGGCCTCTCCCTCATGTGGAACCGGGAAGATGCTCTCATGGTGGGCACCAGTATCCTAGGCTTTGAGGTGGTGGGGCTCCTCTATCTGGCCAGAGGCTTAGTGGCTCCATAGAAGGGCAGGCTTGGGGGACCCACACTTCACAATTGGAATAGGATCCTATGTGGTAGAGCAGGCTGCAGGAGACAGTGATCGGTACGATTGTTTCCATTGGTCGGGCCTGGGAGGGGCTGTCTGTGCCATATATGCAGTGATTGGTCTCTGTCTCTTAGTGACTGCATTTTGGCATACTACCCTGAAGGATCCTTCCTGGTTGCTGATTCCTACCCTCCTCCTGCCCTGCCCTGTTGGAGAAGTTGCCTAGACCTAGGGGCTCTGGAAGCTGTGCTGGGCCCTGAGGTCTGCTCACCTGCCCTCCCTTCCCCCTTAATAGCTAGAACTGGACAGCCGGTTCCAGAACCACACCTGTGGCCTCTGTGGGGACTTCAATGGCATGCAGACCTATTATGAGTTCCTCAGTGAAGGTGAGTGCTGGGCTGAGCTTGTTGAGAGGAAGGCAGGGGTGAGGCTGCAGGTTCCCCCCCCCCCCCCCCCCCCCCCCCCCCGGACCACTGCTGATCAGCCGTATTCCTAGGCATACAATACAGTGCCATTGAGTTTGGGAACATGCAGAAGATCAACAAGCCTGAGGCTGAGTGTGAGGACCCTGAGGTGGTGCAAGAGCCAGAGTCCTGCTCTGAGCATGTGAGTCACTGCTGGGGACCCTGGCTCTCAGGGAACCTGTACTTGCTGGCCTTTGTTGGGGATCCCTATGCTACAAGGGGAGGGAAGAAGGGGTGTGAACAGGGGTGTGAATCTGTCCACATTCATGTCTGTCTCTTCAGCGAGCTGAGTGTGAGAGGCTGTTGACCTCCACAGCCTTTGAGGACTGCCAGGCCCGGGTGCCAGTGGAGTTGTATGTGCGCGCTTGCATGCAGGACCGCTGCCACTGTCCTCAGGGTAGCGCCTGCGAGTGCAGCACCCTTGCTGAGTTCTCCCGCCAATGCTCCCATGCAGGCGGCAGACCTCAGAACTGGAGGACTGCCTCACTCTGCCGTAAGTAGCTGGTGACCCATGGGATGCTTGGGGGGGGGCACTCACATCGTGGTCAGTGTGAGCATCCCTGGGTTTAAGGAGCCCCTGGTGGGATCCATGTCTGTGTCAAGCACCCAGACACTATTTGCCAGTGGCCTTGGCACTCTGTTAGCTCCTTATTTGTGGATTGATGGTGCTGACTTTGCTTCTAGCCAAGAAATGCCCTGGTAACATGGTGTACCTGGAGAGCAGCTCTCCTTGTGTGGACACCTGCTCACATCTGGAGGTCAGCAGCTTGTGTGAAGAACATTACATGGATGGCTGTTTCTGCCCAGAAGGTACATGCTCTGGAAGACCCTTGTTCCAGAGACTGGGTGGGGAACAGGAAGGGAGGAGTAGTACCCTCCCAAGAACCCTAAGGGCTGGGAGATGAGCATCACCATCGACAGAGTAGGGGTCCAGATGCTTGTAGGTGGTGGTCTGACTGGCAGCCTCTCTTTGGGGGGAAGCTGGCACTTCCTGAGGTTTCCAGGATAAGCTTACATCTCTGGCTACCACAGGCACTGTATATGATGACATCACGGGCAGTGGCTGCATCCCTGTGAGCCAGTGCCACTGCAAGCTGCATGGGCATCTCTATATGCCAGGCCAGGAGATCACCAATGACTGTGAGCAGTGGTAAGTCTCAGGGCACAGAGCTTGGGGGTCAGGCAGGCTGGGGTGTCACTGAGTCTTGTCCCTGTGTCCTGCTTCTGGGCAGTGTCTGCAATGCTGGTCGCTGGGAGTGTAAAGACCTGCCTTGCCCTGAGACTTGCGCCCTGGAAGGTGGCTCCCACATCACCACCTTTGATGGAAAAAAGTTTACCTTTCACGGGGACTGCTACTATGTCCTGACCAAGGTAGGCAGATCAGGCTACTAGGATGGATGGGAGCCCTCTGGGGAGGATGGAAAGACTGGGTCTTCCTGGGGTGGTGGGTGCTGCTGCTCTTAGAGACAGTATGAAAAGTGGGGTTCTAGGGTGTAGGAGGTGGTCGGATCCTCACTAACTGTACTACCCTTCCCCATGCAGGGCAACCATAATGACTCCTATGCTCTCCTTGGTGAGCTGGCCCCCTGCGGCTCTACAGATAAGCAGACCTGCCTGAAGACTGTAGTGCTGTTGACTGACAAGAAGAAGAATGTGAGTGCTCCCTGCTCTCCATTCCCAGCATGCCTGGGTCCTGCATGCAGTCACTCTCACCTCTATGCACCTGTGACATTTCTTGCAGGTGGTGGTCTTCAAATCAGGTGGCAGCGTGTTGCTCAATGAGCTGGAGGTGACCCTGCCCCATGTGGCAGGTGAGTGGCTCAGGGAGGGGTCCTGAGCTGCTGCCAGTTAACAGAGCCAGTCGGGACTTAGACAGCCTAGGACATTGGCTTTATCCTTGGGCCCCTGCTGGTGGCAGGGGAGGGGATGGTGGGCATCCCACCAGATAGTAAGGTGGAACCCAGGAGCTCTGCTATCTTTCACCATGTCCTTGTCTTACAGCAAGCTTCTCCATCTTCCGACCCTCCTCCTACCACATTGTTGTGAACACGGTGTTCGGGCTGCGGCTACAGGTTCAGTTGGTCCCAGTCATGCAACTTTTTGTGACTCTGGACCAGGATGCACAGGGACAGGTGCAGGGTGAGTGGTCTTATCCCTCAAAAAGTCCCCTGAGGGCCCTGCCCCACCACCAATCCTTCCTAACCCTGCCCTGGCCCTTTAGGTCTCTGTGGGAACTTCAATGGCTTGGAAAGTGATGACTTCATGACATCTGGGGGGCTGGTGGAGGCCACTGGTGCCGGCTTTGCCAATACCTGGAAGGCCCAATCAAGCTGCCATGACAAGCTAGACTGGCTAGATGATCCCTGTTCCCTCAACATTGAGAGTGGTAAGGTTCAGGGTTGCTGTCCACTGGCTTGTCTAGGACAGAGTTCTGGCCAGTACTGTCCTCGAGCAGATGGGACTTCTGATGGGGGCATAGAATGTGGATGGAGGGGTGGGTGGAGGTCACATGGTCCACGGCGCTGGGGACCAGCACATCCATCTGCTGTTCGGTTAGTTTAGAGTGGCCCCATGCTGGCAGCTTTCCAAATGACAAAGTAGATGGGCTGGTCATGCTAACTGCTGGGTAGTGGCTCTCATTAGGCCTGGCCTAATGCTAGGGCAACACGCCCCCCTACCCACGTCTCAATCATATTTGAAGATTTCTAGCCCCCTGGGATTGAGGAAGGGAGGAGGTGTTATACAAAAAGGTGTCATTTTGCTGATTGATAGCTGCCAGGAGTTATGATGGGAGGGAGGAAGGGTTACACAGGAGACTGTGTCGCCTCCCCCCTGGGTGATCAGACTTTTAGGCTCAGGGTATGAGAAGGGAGCCTGGCCGTGCTAAGGTTCTGACCCACTCCCTAGCCAATTATGCTGAGCACTGGTGTTCCCTACTGAAGAGGTCGGAGACCCCTTTTGCCAGGTGCCACTTGGCTGTGGATCCCACTGAATACTACAAGGTGAGTTCATCCCCCAACTCTACATACTCAATGTTGCATGCAGTGTCCTTAGAGCTAGCAATATGTGCCCAGGCCACCTGGCTGAGCCTGTGAGTGTGTGTGTGTGTGTGTGTGTGTGTGTGTGTGTGTGTGTGTGTGTGTGTGCCTGAGTGCTGGCATGGGTGAACGTTTATGCTCACGTGAGTGCACAGGGTGCTAGTGCCATGCACCTGGCTTCCTCACCTCACTGTTACTTTGGTTTGCCTCCTAGAGATGCAAATATGACACATGCAACTGTCAGAACAACGAGGACTGCATGTGTGCAGCTCTGTCTTCCTATGCCCGTGCCTGTGCTGCCAAGGGTGTCATGCTGTGGGGCTGGCGAGAGAGTGTCTGCAGTGAGTGCTTCCCCACTGGCTGCTTCCTAGGATAGTGATCCAGACATAGAACTCCATGGGATGGGGGCTGGGGGCCCTGAGCACAGTCAGTCCAGGGAGAGGGGCCAGTTGTAGCTGCCTCCCAGCTTCTGCCAGAAGCAGCAGACTTACCTGACCTTTGAGGCTCTGTTTGCAGCATGGAGCAGAATTCTGCAGAGATGGACTATGGGATGGCCACAGCTGTGGCAGCTGAGTTCAGGAGCCTGGGAGGGGTTCCCAGTGTGACTGCCCTCTCTCTGTAGTCCTGGTGGGGGGAGACGCTCAGTGACAGCCCATAGGGACAGTAGTTGGAGTTCAGTGCCATTGTCCCTTACTCCTGTGGTTTCCTCTGCAGACAAAGATGTGCACGCTTGCCCCAGCTCACAGATCTTCCTGTACAACCTGACCACTTGCCAGCAGACCTGCCGCTCTCTCTCAGAGGGTGACAGCCACTGCCTCAAGGGATTTGCACCTGTGGAAGGCTGTGGTTGCCCTGACCATACCTTCATGGATGAGAAGGGCCGCTGTGTGCCCCTGGCGAAGTGCTCCTGCTACCACCATGGTCTTTACCTGGAGGCAGGAGATGTGATCCTGAGGCAAGAGGAGCGCTGGTGAGTGCCCTGGACTCGGTAAGGGGTCCACAAGGCAGAGCGCTGGTGAGTGCCCTGGACTCGCTAAGGGGTCCACAAGGCGGAGCGCTGGTGAGTGCCCTGGACTCGCTAAGGGGTCCACAAGGCTGAGCGCTGGTGAGTGCCCTGGACTCGGTAAGGGGTCCACAAGGCGGAGGGGGGGGGCTGCTCTTGAATCTCTACCCCAAGTGAAAAACTGAGAGGCTCTACCTGTGGGACTGGAGGCTCTCAAATGGTGCAGGGGTGACAGAGGTGAGATTCTGGGAGTGGACTGGGCCCCATTCACCCTGTCCCACTTCTCTCTCACAGCATTTGCCGGAACGGGAGGCTGCAGTGCACCCAGGTCAAACTGATTGGCCACAGTAAGTTTCACAGATGCTGTCCAAGTGTGGCCACCAGTCTGAGTCTTGTTTCCCCTCCCTACTTACCTGGTACCCTGAATTTATCTTGAGCTAAGACAGACTTCTTGACCCCACAGGCTGTGAGCACCCCAAAATCCTTGTGGATTGCAACAACTTGACTGCTCTGGCCACCCGGAAACCCCGCCCCACTAGTTGCCAGACACTGGTGGCTGGCTATGTGAGTGCCAGGGAGGGCTGCTGTGGTTGGGCTGGTTGGGGGCATTCTGGATGCCTGAGTTAACTGGGTGGGCTAGGCAGACTCCCACACTGCCAGCTCACTGGGCTGGGGGCTGAGTCTTACACACACCTGCATCTATTGATAGTCCCTGTGGCCCTGTGACTTTCAGCAGTGCAGAGTTCAGCCTAGGGGCCTTGACCAGCAACCCTCCCTGGTCTCCCTGACCAGGATGAGCTTGAAGGGAGGGGTTTTAGGAGAGTGGAGAAGAAGTTGGGGAGTCCAGGACACTTAAATCTTCTCACGTGGGCACTTGACCCCTCAAGGAAGGCTTGGCCCTCATCCTAGCCTTTCTTAATCCAGTACCATACAGAGTGTATCAGCGGCTGTGTGTGTCCCGATGAGAAGCTGGATGATGGCCGTGGTAACTGTGTGGAGGAGAAGGATTGTCCCTGCATCCACAACAAAGACCTGTACAATCCTGGGGACAAGATCAAACTGGACTGTAATAACACCTGGTGAGCTGGCCCAGTCAGGCTGCATTGGAGGGACGGGACTCGTTTTGTGGGGGTACAAGAAGGTCCCCACTCTGTTGACAGAGTGAGTCTTGTGTCTACCCCTGGCCCAGAGGTCACTCATAGGCCAGGTCCTATGTGAACCGCCTCAGGGGCTATTGCCACAGCGTCCAGGGCCTTACCTATGCCACTCTCTGAGGACAGGTGGGAGTCTTGGCCTCAGGCCCTTCAGGCTCCTCTACCTTTCTCCTCAGTACCTGCCAGAAAGGACGCTGGGAGTGCACCCAGTATGCATGCCACAGTACCTGCTCTATCTACGGGAGTGGCCATTACATCACCTTCGATGGAAAACACTATGACTTTGATGGACACTGCTCCTATGTGGCTGTCCAGGTGCGATTGTGAACCTCTCCAGGAAGGGGACTTCCCTGAGATGCGGAACAGGGCCCTTGGGGGTGGGGAGAGCTAGCCCTTCCTCACACTGGGACCCATACTGCCAGGATTTGCACTCCTAGAGAGTAGAGAGGGTGTAAATCCCTCTCTTCCCTCATGGGGATGGGGGTATTGAGAAAGCCCCCCCCCCGTGTGTGTGTGTGTGTGTGTGTGTGTGTGTGTGGCCCAACTACTGTCCCTTCTGTCCTTTGTATGGCTTCATCATCTCCAGACAACAGAAGATTTGGCTGGGTGAGGTTTGAGTTAGGGACTTGAATCCCAGATGGAGAAAGGCAGAATGTTTTCTACTCAGGGGTGGCTTTACCTTTGCCAACTGGGGTTGGCACCTGTGTCCTGGCTTTCTTGGCTGACACTGTCTTGTTGGCCCCCAGGACTACTGTGGCCAGAACTCTACTGGCTCCTTCAGCATTATCACCGAGAATGTCCCCTGCGGCACCACAGGTGTTACCTGCTCCAAGGCCATAAAGATCTTTATAGGGGTGAGTGCTGCTGGTTTCTGGGATCTCTTGGGAGCCCTTGGACATGGTCAGTGACCATCCTTTTCTCTGGATAGGGAACAGAGCTGAAGTTGGTGGATAAACACCGTGTGGTAAAGCAGTTGGAGGAGGGACACCATGTGCCCTACATCACACGGGAAGTGGGTCTGTACCTGGTGGTGGAAGCCAGCTCTGGTATTATTGTTATCTGGGACAAGAGGACCACCATCTTCATCAAGCTGGCCCCTTCTTACAAGGTGAGCCACCAAGATGTCAGCCATGTTGTGGGCTGCTCCCAGCACAGACCCTGTGGGATGCTACTGTCACCTATCTCAAGACTGTCAAGCTGGAGACTTGTCTTTCCTCCGGTAGGGCACTGTCTGTGGTCTGTGTGGGAACTTTGATGACCAGACCAAAAATGACTTCACCACTCGGGACCACATGGTGGTGACCAGCGAGCTAGACTTTGGGAATAGCTGGAAGGAAGCTCCCACGTGCCCAGATGTGAACCACACCCCAGACCCCTGCAGCCTGAACCCACACCGTCGCTCCTGGGCAGAGAAACAGTGCAGCATTATCAAGAGTGGTGTATTCAAAGGGTGTCATAGCAAGGTAGGTGGGCCTGAAGGCATGGGCAAGGTCACAGGACAGGCATGGCTGAAGGCATGGGCAGGGTCACAGGACAGGCATGGCTGAAGGCATGGGCAGGGTCACAGGACAGGCATGGCTGAAGGCATGGGCAGGGCCACAGGAAAGGCATGGCTGAAGGCATGGGCAGGGTCACAGGAAAGGCATGGCTGAAGGCATGGGCAGGGTCACAGGAAAGGCATGGCTGAAGGCATGGGCAGGGTCACAGGACAGGCATGGCTGAAGGCATGGGCAGGGTCACAGGAAAGGCATGGCTGAAGGCATGGGCAGGGTCACAGGACAGGCATGGCTGAAGGCATGGGCAGGGTCACAGGAAAGGCATGGCTGAAGGCATGGGAGGGCCACAAATGCAGGCAGGGGCACAGATGTGTGTGGACCGTGGGCTCTGCAGGTGGAGTCCCATTGTAGGTGTATTGTGGTTGTGGTTAGGGCCATGGTTGGGGCCGCTGAAAGAGATTGATGAGCATGACTGTGGCCATGAGAGGGATATAGCCTACTAGTCTTGCTATGTTTGTTTTTCGGGCTCCTGCCCTCTCCAAGTAGGCTAAGGATACTTGGAGGCACGTTGCTGTACCACCATGGGGTATTTGTTCTTTAATTCCGTACATTTGGTTTTTTGAGTCTGTAATTAGATGATCAACCTTTCTCTCTGAGATTCCTGGGTAGACTCTGACCTCCTTTGCTCTAATTACATGCTCATCAGGGAGGGAGAGAAACGACATTTTGTTAGAGCCTAGAAGGTAGCAGGGGGAGGGCCAGTTTTAGAATTGTCATCTTGAGCCACTCAGGGGATGGATGACAGATCTGTTGGACAGGGTGTCCTGAATGTGAGTGCCCTCCCTCCATCAGCTACTCTGAGGCCCTGGGCCAGCTTCATGTCCTGAATTCCAGGCCCTGTATGGGCAGTGTGGGCCTTGGGCACATTGACGTCTTCTTCCTAGGTGGACCCCACGGTGTTCTATGAGGCCTGTGTGCATGACTCTTGCTCTTGTGACACGGGTGGTGACTGTGAGTGTTTTTGCTCCGCTGTGGCCTCCTATGCTCAGGAGTGCACCAAGGCAGAGGCCTGTGTGTTCTGGAGGACGCCGGACCTATGCCGTGAGTATCTATGGCAGACAGCATCTTCCTTCCCCATGCAAGTGATAACTGAATACCACCTATCCCATACTTGTTCCCAGGTATCCTTTTTTTGGGGCATAGTGAGGCTTGTGTTGGTAGGAGCTGACTGGACCTGTTCTTGATCACATCTCCTGATGCAGGCTCACTTAAGTGCCCACTTGTATGCTCCCAAGCCTGATCATGTCTCTGTTCTCTCTCCCTCTAGCCATATTCTGTGATTACTACAACCCCCCCAATGAGTGTGAATGGCACTATGAACCATGTGGGAACCGCAGCTTTGAGACCTGTAGGACCATCAATGGCATTCACTCCAACATCTCTGTGTCCCACCTGGAGGGTGAGGAGGCATAGCCCTTCAGGGAGGTAGCTGCTAAGGGGCAGTCCCCTGTCAGGCTGAGGGCTACCATTAGCTGGAGATACATGGGATGTTAGAGAGATGGCCAAGGGCTAAGAGGCTTGGCTTAGGGGACAAGGTTCACTTCATTATCGTCTTCTCACTGACCTGGGACCTAGGAACCCAGCTAAGGACCTGCCTCTTGAAGAGGTGACAAAGAAGCATGCTAACTCATGGGTGGGAACCACTCGGGTGTGTGCAGAGCAGAATGCCTTAGTGGCAGGGAAGGCACAAACCTTGTCTTCTGACTCTTGGTCTTCATAGATGAACATCTCCAAGCAAAACACCAGATGGGGTGGGGCTAATGAGGAAAGGTCTGGTAGATCAGGGACCCAGTTCTCCATGGTGGTGTAAACCCCATTCCCTATACCCACTAGGCTGCTATCCTCGGTGCCCTAAGGACAGGCCCATCTATGATGAGGACCAGAAGAAATGTGTCACTGAGGACATGTGTGGCTGCTATATTGAGGACACTCGCTACCAACTCAACGAATCTGTTCCCACTGAGGATATCTGCATGTCTTGGTACTGAGCCTGCATTGCATAGGGTATAGAAAAGGTTGGCGCACGTGCGTGCGCACGCGCGCGCGCACGCGCACACACACACACACACACACACACACACATCATGGTCAGATACATGGAATTGTGGTCACTCCGGTTAGGTGCATATGCACATGCAAGCACACATACATGGCTCTCTTAGCCACATATATACACATATGGTCATAGGAGCTAGGGAACAGAGGTGCTAGTTCCTGTCCTTAGGGGTATGAAGGCCTTTTGATCTCACCCCATCCTCTTGGCTCAGCTTTTTCTTAGCTTGCTTCACCTCATCTGGTTGGCCACGTTTAGAACCCAATGGGTGGGGTTCCTTTGTAGCTCATGTTTGGGGCTTTGGGCCCAAGCACAGGGAGATGGGCATATGGTGTCTGTGAGCAGGGAGGGTATGGGGAGGACTTGTAGCATCTATACTTTCTTTTCAGTATATGCAACAACTCAGAGATCACCTGCCATCCAGATGAAGGTAAGCTGCCCTCTGCTGGGATCCTGGAGGTAGAGGGTTAGAGGTCCCAATCCAGGAAGCCCATGAGACCTAGACTCGGGTAGGGATTGGTTTCCTCCTGGCCTCTATTTTTTTTTTTTTTTTTTATGTTGCCCAGGTTCCAGATTCAACTTGCTGAGCTGTGCAGCAAGTCTGAGGGAATCACACTACACATCTTTGTTTCTTTTCTCTAATGGGAGTGGTACCCTACGGGGAATTTCTAGTGTATCTCTCATCTGGGTTCTGGACTCATCATCTCTGGGTTCCAATGGGGCTTTTTCTTCAAAGTGAGAGGTTCTAAGGATATAGTCCTGATGGAATATGTCCCCACTTTCCCCTTACATGTGATAAACTGGGGAAGCTTTGAAAGTCTGTGTTTTCCATTGGTTTGATGGCCCCATATCCTCTGTGCAGGGAAGATTATTAACCAGACCCAGGATGGTGTCTTCTGCTACTTGGAGATCTGCGGCCCCAATGGGACAGTGGAGAAACACTTCAATATTTGTGCCTCCTCCACACCATCCCCATCCACTCTGACAAGCTTCACCACAATCTCCACCACTACCCCCATCTCTACAACCACAACCACAACCACAACCACTGCTACCGCCACTACTGGCACCGCCACTGCCACTGCCACCTCCACAGCCACGATGACCACCACTGAAGGTGAGGCTTATTCTGAGGGCTTTTGTCTTCTTGAGAATCCAGCATGGATTCTCCTTCTGGGGGGCCAGAGCCAGGCCTGTGTATTCATCAGGTCAACTGAGAATTTAGATGGCATTGACATTTCTCTGAACTCTTCTACATTTGTTCCAGTTCAAACCATGTCTATGATGAGTGACCTGTCAGGGGTATGACAGACATAGGGAAGAACACCTGTAATATGGGGGACCTGGGCTGGGCTTGGGACTCAGGTGGCAAAGCACTTGCTTCACAGGCATGAGGACATGGTTTGAATCTCCAGAGGCCATGTAAAAATGCCAGACATGTGGGTATACATTTGTATTCCCACTGTTGGGGATATAGAGACAGTAGGATTCTTGGGTCTCACTGGCAAGCCAGTACAACTTAATTGCCAAGTTCCAGGTGAATGGGAGACTTCATCTGAAAGGAAGTAGATGGCATTCTTGAGGATGACACTGGAGATTGTCCTCTGGTCTCTATACTCACATATGCATCTACAAACACATGTATACACACAAATGTGTACACATACAATGCAGGCTAAGCATGGTGGAACACACTTGCAACCAGCACTTGGGAAGCAGAAGTAGGATGATTGCCATAAGTTTGAGGCTTATAGTTTATGTAGAGAGTTCCAGACTGGCTAGGGCTATGTAGCAAGAGCATGCTTTAAAAAATAAGCTTAAGCTGTACAGTAATATCCTCCTTTTTTCCTTGTCTAACATTACACCAACAACTTCTAGTAAGTGACATCAACAATACTTTCCCATGATAATAGGGCCAAGAAGAGAAAAATCTTAAGTCCTTCCCAGCTTCCTTCAGAAGCAGAAGTGAGGGCAGGCTGCACTTATCTGCTTGTAGATAACAGGCATATTTACTCACTGTTTGCCAAGTCCATGGACACAGAGGTGGGACCTGACCTGTGTGGATGACTATGTTCTGGGTCAGGAATAGACAAAGATCCTTTCACACTCTTCCTTAGTGATGGATCTCTTGTTAGTTTTTTTTTTTCTCACACAGTATTGCCAAGGTAGGGCTACTGAGCTGGGGTTCTAAGACCAGGTTGTATTCCACTTAGACATGGCCTTGGGTGGCCCCCTCTCTCTGGGTCATAGTCTGTCAACTGTAAATATGGGTTTATTCTGAACTCTGTCCCTTGGTGATTATGGGGTGGGCAAGTATATCTGTTGGGTGGCTACAGAGGTCACAGAAGACTCTGAATCATCATAGCCTCTCTCAAGCATGAATGATCTATATGTAATTTTACTTCCCTAGCACCACATTGCTGCTTCTGGTCTGATTGGATTAACAATGATCATCCTAGCAGAGGTGATAATGATGGTGATAGAGAGACCTTTGAAAGCGTCTGCAGTGCTCCTGTGGACATTGAGTGCAGGTCAGCCACAGAACCCAAACTCAGCTGGGAGGAGCTGGACCAGGAGGTACAGTGTAATGTCTCAGCTGGATTCGATTGCAAAAACAAAGACCAGTATGGAAAAGGAGTATTTGACATTTGTTATGACTATGAGATAAGAGTCAACTGTTGCTTCCCAGAGGAATACTGTACTACTCCAACCATCTCACCTACAACTTCAACAATGACCTCACCTATCACTTCACCAACAACTCCACCTACCTCTTCACCAACCACCTCATCTACAACTTCCCCACTGACTTCATCTACAACTTCATCAACAACCTCACCTACCACTTCACCAACAACTCCACCTACCTCTTCACCAACCACCTCATCTACAACTTCCCCACTGACTTCATCTACAACTTCATCAACAACCTCACCTACTACTTCACCAACAACTCCACCTACCTCTTCACCAACCACCTTACCTACAACTTCCCCACTAACCTCATCTACAACTTCATCAACAACCTCACCTACCACTTTAACACTTTCCCCATCTAGCTCAGCTTCCACATCACCAACAACCTTGCCTACCACTACATCAGTCATTTCAACAACCACTTCACTGACCACTACACCAACCACCTCATCTACCACTACACCAATGACTTCATTTACCACCTCACAAACACCTTCATCAACCACATCTCCTAACAGTTCACCAACCACCTCTGCTACAACTTCACCAACCACTTCACAAGGAACTTCGACTGCCACATCACCAAGCACCTCACCTACCATTTCATCAACTGTGTCTACTCTATCCACCACCACAAAACCACCAACTGCATGCATCGAAGACTGCAAATGGACTGGCTGGAAGGATTCTGGCAAACCCACCTATGGTCCAGGAGGTGGAGATATTGAACTGATTGAAGATGCCTGTGAACCAGGCTGGGAAGTAGCTAACATATCCTGCAGATCTCCGATGTTTTCTGACAAACCACTTGATCAGATAGGACAGAAAGTAATTTGTGACAAAGAAGTTGGGCTAGTGTGTAAAAATGAAGATCAGAAAATAGAAGGGATGATAGGAATGCCCATGTGTTTCAACTATGCAATCAATGTTTACTGCTGTAAGTGCTGTAGCCCAGGATGCTCCCCCATTATGACAACCACACAAACTTCAACAACCACTACAGTGACTTCTATCCCAACATCTACCAGCAAACTGACATCAACAACCACATCTACTACATCAGAAACCTCAACCTCAACATCTACTGCCACAACAACCATAACAACAACACCCTACACAGTTACCTCCACTCAAATATCTACCACCACACAGACAACTGGTCCAACCACCCCTACTACAGTCAGTCCAATCACAGAGACCCCAACCACAACATCTACCACCAAAGAGACAATTAGCCCAACCTTCTCTACCACAGTGACGCCAACTCCAGAGACCTCAATCACAACATCTACTACCAAAGAGACAACTGGTACAATCTCCTCTACTACAGTGACTCCAAGACCATCAACACCAACACCTACCACCAAAGAGACCTCAACCTCAACATCTACTATCACAGAGACTATGACAACAACACCCTACACAGGAACTTCTACTCAAACATATACCACGACAGAGAAAACTGTCTCAACCTCCTCTACTACAGTGACTACAACACCACCACCACCTATCACCACAGAGACTTCAACCACAACATTTACCACCACAGAGAAAACAGGTCCACCTTCCTCTACTATAGTGACACCAACACCACCACCACCAACACCTACCACCACAGAGACCTCAACCACATCTACCACCACAGAGATAACTGGTCCAACCTCCTCTACTACAGTCACTCCAACTCCAGAGACCCCAACAACAACATCAACCACCACAGAGAAAACTGGTCCACCTTCTTCTACTACAGTGACACCAACACCACCAACACCAACACCTACCACCACAGTGACCTCAACCTCATCATCTACTATCACAGAGACCATAACAACAACACCCTACCCAGGTACCTCTACTCCAACATCTACCACCACACAGACAACTGGTCCAACCTCCTCTACTACAGTCACTCCAACTCCAGAGACCCCAACAACATCTACCACCACAGAGACAACTGGTCCACCTTCCTCTACTACAATGACACCAACATCGCCAAGAACAACACCTACCACCACAGTGACCTCAACCACAACATCTACCACCACAGAGACAACTGGTCCACCTTCCTCTACTACAGTGACATCAACACCACCAACACCAACTATAACCACAGAGTCCTCAACCACATCTTCCACCACAGAGACAACTGGTCCAACTTCCTCTACAGTCACTCCACCACTACCAACAACAACACCTATCATCACAGAGACCCCAACAACAACATCTTCCACCACAGAGACAACTGGTCCACCTTCCTCTACTACAGTGACACCAACACCGCCACCAACAACACCTACCACCACAGTGACCTCAACCACAACATCAACCACCACAGAGACAACTGGTCCAACTTCCTCTACTACAGTCACTCCACCACTACCAACAACAACACCTATTACCACAGAGACCCCAACCACAACATCTACCACCACAGAGACAACTGGTCCAACTTCCTCTACTACAGTGACACCAACACCACCAACCCCAACACCTACCACCACAGAGACCTCAACGACAACATCAACCACCACAGAGACAACTGGTCCACCTTCCTCTACTACAGTGACACCAACACCACCAACCCCAACACCTACCACCACAGAGACCTCAACGACAACATCTACCACTACAGAGACAACTGGTCCAACCTCCTCTACTACAGTCACTCCACCAGTACCAATAACAACACCTATTACCACAGAGACCCCAACCACAACATCTACCACCACAGAGACAACAGGACCACCTTCCTCTACTACAGTGACACCAACACCACCAACCCCAACACCTACCACCACAGAGACCTCAACGACAACATCAACCACCACAGAGACAACTGGTCCACCTTCCTCTACTACAGTGACACCAACACCACCAACCCCAACACCTACCACCACAGAGACCTCAACGACAACATCTACCACCACAGAGACAACAGGTCCAACCTCCTCTACTACAGTCACTCCACCACTACCAATAACAACACCTATTACCACAGAGACCCCAACCACAACATCTACCACCACAGAGACAACTGGTCCACCTTCCTCTACTACAGTGACACCAACACCACCAACCCCAACACCTACCACCACAGAGACCTCAACGACAACATCAACCACCACAGAGACAACTGGTCCACCTTCCTCTACTACAGTGACACCAACACCACCAACCCCAACACCTACCACCACAGAGACCTCAACGACAACATCAACCACCACAGAGACAACTGGTCCACCTTCCTCTACTACAGTGACACCAACACCACCAACCCCAACACCTACCACCACAGAGACCTCAACGACAACATCTACCACCACAGAGACAACAGGTCCAACCTCCTCTACTACAGTCACTCCACCACTACCAACAACAACACCTATTACCACAGAGACCCCAACCACAACATCTACCACCACAGAGACAACTGGTCCAACTTCCTCTACTACAGTGACACCAACACCACCAACCCCAACACCTACCACCACAGAGACCTCAACGACAACATCAACCACCACAGAGACAACTGGTCCACCTTCCTCTACTACAGTGACACCAACACCACCAACCCCAACACCTACCACCACAGAGACCTCAACGACAACATCTACCACTACAGAGACAACTGGTCCAACCTCCTCTACTACAGTCACTCCACCACTACCAATAACAACACCTATTACCACAGAGACCCCAACCACAACATCTACCACCACAGAGACAACAGGTCCACCTTCCTCTACTACAGTGACACCAACACCACCAACCCCAACACCTACCACCACAGAGACCTCAACGACAACATCAACCACCACAGAGACAACTGGTCCACCTTCCTCTACTACAGTGACACCAACACCACCAACCCCAACACCTACCACCACAGAGACCTCAACGACAACATCAACCACCACAGAGACAACTGGTCCACCTTCCTCTACTACAGTGACACCAACACCACCAACCCCAACACCAACCACCACAGAGACCTCAACGACAACATCTACCACCACAGAGACAACTGGTCCAACCTCCTCTACTACAGTCACTCCACCACTACCAACAACAACACCTATTACCACAGAGACCCCAACCACAACATCTACCACCACAGAGACAACAGGTCCACCTTCCTCTACTACAGTGACACCAACACCACCAACCCCAACACCTACCACCACAGAGACCTCAACGACAACATCAACCACCACAGAGACAACTGGTCCACCTTCCTCTACTACAGTGACACCAACACCACCAACCCCAACACCTACCACCACAGAGACCTCAACGACAACATCTACCACCACAGAGACAACTGGTCCAACCTCCTCTACTACAGTCACTCCACCCCTACCAATAACAACACCTATTACCACAGAGACCCCAACCACAACATCTACCACCACAGAGACAACTGGTCCACCTTCCTCTACTACAGTGACACCAACACCACCAACCCCAACACCTACCACCACAGAGACCTCAACGACAACATCAACCACCACAGAGACAACTGGTCCACCTTCCTCTACTACAGTGACACCAACACCACCAACCCCAACACCTACCACCACAGAGATCTCAACGACAACATCAACCACAACAGAGACAACTGGCCCAACCTCCTCTACTACAGTGACTACAACACCACCACCACCAACCATCACCACAGAGACCTCAACCACAACATCTACCACCACAGAGACAACTGGTCCAAGTTCCTCTACTACAGTCACTCCACCACTACCAACAACAACACCTATTACCACAGAGACCCCAACCACAACATCTACCACCACAGAGACAACAGGTCCACCTTCCTCTACTACAATGACACCAACACCGCCACCAACAACACCTACCACCACAGTGACCTCAACCACAACATCTACCACCACAGAGACAACTGGTCCAACCTCCTCTACTACAGTGACTCCACCACTACCAACAACAACACCTATCATCACAGAGACCCCAACCACAACATCTACCACCACAGAGACAACAGGTCCACCTTCCTCTACTACAGTGACACCAACCCCAACACCTACCACCACAGTGACCTCAACCACAACATCTACCACCACAGAGACAACTGGTCCACCTTCCTCTACTACAGTGACACCAACACCACCAACCCCAACACCTACCACCACAGAGACTTCAACCACAACATCTACCACCACAGAGACAACTGGTCCACCTTCCTCTACTACAGTGACACCAACACCGCCACCAACAACACCTACCACCACAGTGACCTCAACAACAACATATACCACCACAAAGACAAGTGGTCCAACTTCCTCTACTACAGTCACTCCACCACTACCAACAACAACACCTATTACCACAGAGACCCCAACCACAACATCTACTACCACAGAGACAACAGGTCCACCTTCCTCTACTACAGTGACACCAACACCACCAACACCAACACCTACCACCACAGTGACCTCAACCTCATCATCTACTATCACAGAGACCATAACAACAACACCCTACCCAGGTACCTCTACTCCAACATCTACCACACAGACAACTGGTCCAACCTCCTCTACTACAGTCACTCCAACTCCAGAGACCCCAACAACATCAACCACCACAGAGACAACTGGTCCACCTTCCTCTACTACAGTGACACCACCACCACCAACAACAACACCTACCACCACAGTGACCTCAATCACAACATCTACTATCACAGAGACCATAACAACAACACCCTACCCAGGTACCTCTACTCCAACATCAACCACCACACAGACAACTGGTCCTACTTCCTTTACTACAGTCACTCCAACCCCAGAGACCCCAACAACAACATCTATCACCACAGAGAAAACTGGTCCACCTTCTTCTACTACAGTGACACCAACACCACCAACACCAACACCTACCACCACAGTGACCTCAACCTCATCATCTACTATCACAGAGACCATAACAACAACACTCTACCCAGGTACCTCTACTCCAACATCTACCACCACACAGACAACTGGTCCAACATCCTCTACTACAGTCACTCCAACTCCAGAGACCCCAACAACATCTACCACCACAGAGACAACTGGTCCACCTTCCTCTACTTCAGTGACACCAACACCACAACCACCAACACCTACCACCACAGTGACCTCAACCTCATCTTCTACTATCACAGAGACCATAACAACAACACCCTACCCAGGTACCTCTACTCCAACATCTACCACCACACAGACAACTGGTCCAATCTCCTCTACTACAGTCACTCCAACCCCAGAGACCCCAACAACAGCATCTACCACCACAGAGACAACTGGTCCAATATTCTCTACTATAGTTACACCAAAACCAATGCCCAGCACCACAGAGACATCAACCCCAATTTCTACTATCTCATCAATCCCACCCTCATCCTCTGCTATTAGCACTACAACCATCACACAATACCCCACTACAACACACACTGCCATAATCATAGACACTTCTACCCCACCTTCCACCACTCCAGGGACACCATTTTCAACTTCTATCTCTACTGAAAGCACAACCTCAACATCTCCTACTAGCCAAACCTCAACCCCCAAACCCACCACCACAACTGAAGAGTTCTCTACCCCTACAACCACAGTACCTACTACAGGATCAACTTCTTTTGAACCTTCAACCAAGCCCTCAACACCTGTGACCTCTCTGCCCACTTCTTTCCCACCCTCGGAGTCCATCATCCTTTCTACTACCCCTGTAATAACTATAGCAACATCTAGCACAGCATCATCACCTGGAACAACATCATCAGTGGGCAGTACACCGTCTTCACGTCCAGGATCAACACCAGGACCTACCACAACTTCTTTTGGTAAGCACTTATGTGAAGCCACCTTTATTCCTCTTCCCTTAGGGAAGATTTGTGGCATAAGACCTGAGCCTGGGGTCAGCACTTTGTGCTTCACAACTCCGTTCTTGTGCAGTGAGACAAGTCCCTTAGAGGGTTTGAGGCAAGCTAACCTTCTGCCTATTGAATCAGAATCCTGAGAGTGATGAACTGTCTGGAAACAAAGGTCACTATCTTTCTGTGGATAGGTTTTCCTCAGGCAGAGCTACTTCAGCATAGACTTTGTAGCCCAACTCTTATGGGATTCCATGGGGAAATCTCTCCCTGGGAATTTCTGGGCTGCTTTGGGCTAGGGCAGGTGTAAGGCAGTGGGCCACTTCTGTGTCTGGGATTGGCATAAGAGGTCTCATAAGTAGCTAGCTGGCTTTGAGGGCACTGTCTGATGTCCAGTGTCAGTGTGACATGTTATGTATGGTGATGTCAAATCCTGGTGAGTGGATACAGGCTTTGGCACCTCATCATGGCTCCTTAAGTCAGCTGTTACCTTTCTGTGGTGGGGCCTGCAGGTGGTTCTGCAGCATCTGGTTTGGCCCACAATGTAACTGTTCTTACAGGCACGTCTACCTCATCAAAGACCACACCAGGACCAACATCCCCCACCACAAGACCACCCTCCACGTCCACCCCTACATCCCCCACTGTGCCAATGTCCACCACAGAAAGTGTCACCCAGACAAGTCTCTCGTCAACCTCACCAACTACTTTGGAGACCACCAGGACCTCATCTTCAGGGACACTATCTTCAGTTTCCCCACTCACCCCTCCCAACTTCACCACCTCCACCCAACTTTATTGCTGCGTTTTGAATGGCACTTACTATGACCCAGGTATCCAAAGTCTCACATCTAATGTTCACAATTTTCAGGCCGGTTCCTGCTCTTCCCAGTGGGTAGAATCAGGGTCAGACCCCTACTTGAAGCTTGCTCAGGAGGTTGGAGACTGGTATATGCTTTTGTGGCTGGGAACATGAACCAGAGGTCAGGGCTCTTGCAAGGTTTGAAGAACAAGTAGAAGTGGGTCTTAGTCCATTTTCTGTTGTTGTAATGAAATACTTGAGGTCAGATGATTTATGAATAATAGAAGGTGATTTATCTGACAGTGTTGGAGTTAGGAAGTATAGGAACATGGCACTGGCACCTGATGAGTTCCTCATTCTGCATCGAAACATGATGTAAGCATTAGGTAGTGAGATGGCACAAATGTGCTAGCTCTAGTCTCTTATACTTCTTATAATGTCACTAATGTCATGCTAGGGTGTTTACCCTCATACCTAATTTAACCTTGCTAATCACTCCATAGAGTGGGGTCTTCCATGGCCTCCATGGAGTCTATCAGTGTGTTCCTGTGGCCCACTCTATCTCTGAATGGTGTAAAGACCGCATCCTTCTCTTCCTTTGTAGGTGAACTGATCTACAACAAAACCCTTGGGGACACTTGTTATTATGTTAACTGCTCTGTGGACTGCCAAGTCCAATTCTTCAATTGGTCCTGCCCATCTACTCCCTCAACTTCTAAGCCTTCAACACCGACGTCCTCCCTGACGACCACACCCTCCACACCATCTACCACATCTCAAAAGTCTACACCCTCCACAACACCCAAGTCAACACCCACCTCAACAGTCATAACCACCAGCTCTGGGTGCCTCGACTTTGATCCTCCCAGACAGGTCAGTGGGCAGTATGTGGCTTTGTTACCTGGCACTGAACAGGTCCTTGTTCAGACACCTACCATCTGAATGACATCCTTCCTTGTTGTCCAAGATGCCCATATTCCCATACCCTGCACCTTCTCAAGTAGAGTGAATGCTGGCACAGGGTCTGCTGGCCTTCTCTCTTTTCACCACGTCTTACCTTTCTTGTCCTTATCCTAACTTCCCTCAGCTCCATCCCTGAGTGGGCCCTGTCCTCCTGTGTAGACTGGGGAGGCTAAGCTGGGCTATCTGCTGACTGTTCTGCATCTTCTATCCTGCAGGTGAATGAGACCTGGTGGTTATGTAACTGTACCATGGCCATTTGCAAGCATGACAATGTAGTGGAGATTGTAGAGCTGGAGTGTAACCCCCCACCCATGCCCACGTGTTCCAACGGTCTCAAGCCCGTGCGTGTCGTTGACCCTAATGGCTGCTGCTGGCACTGGGAGTGTGACTGTAAGGCCCTTAGCTAACTGGGGGTGCACCTGCCAGGGTCTTTTCTTCTTTGGTACTGGTGGCTTCAGGGCCAGTCTCCTGGGAACAGACCTTGATTGCTAAGCACTGCTGTAGGCTGTGCACACAGTCTTAGGGACTTCTCGATACTTCTTCTGTTCACTGGGTAGGAGGTTGGGTAGGTAGAAGCCTTGACTGGTGGGGCAGAGGCACCTTTCTGAGCAAGGATGTTTCTGAGTTTAGGAGTAACCTTCTGTCTCTAAAGCAAGGCCTCCCTGCAGAATGGGGGGCATGTAGACCAACTGGGAAGATGCTTTTAGAAGATCTGCTCCAGTTTGGATGTCCCTAGTGGCCCAACCTAGGGACCAAGTTTTTCAGACTCCTTTAGTTACGGCTGCTTTTCTAGCCTATCCCTTGAATCTTGACCATGACTTGATCCCAGTGGTTCTGCCTTTGTGACATCAACTTACAGAGCTTCTTCCACAGGCTACTGCACTGGCTGGGGGGACCCGCACTTTGTCACCTTTGATGGGCTCTACTACAGTTACCAGGGTAACTGCACCTACGTGCTGGTGGAGGAGATTACCTCCACAGTGGACAACTTTGGAGTCTACATTGACAACTACCATTGTGATGTCAATGACAAGGTGTCCTGTCCCCGCACCCTTATTGTGCGCCATGAGACCCAGGAAGTGCAGATTAAAACCACACACATGATGCCCATTGAGGTGCAGGTATGTGGCTGGGGATGGCTGGGCATCCACAGTGTGTTTGTCATGGCCTTATACTGTGGATCCCAGGCAACAGGGGATTAGGCTGCAGGACCATTGGACCAGCCTGAAGCTATAGTACATGTAGAGCCTCCTTAGGGTCATGTCAGCTCTTCTCACAGGCTCTCTGAAGATAGGTGAACAGGAAGTGATTGTGTCTATCTGAGTCTTCTCTATCTTCTGGGGTCACTGGTGATGTTGATTGAAACATCTGAGGAGCCCTGACCCTTTCATGGAGCCTCAAACTGAGAAGAATCTTCTTTGGCTCTCCTGGGACAAAGGTCTATCCCAGTATGGTGGAAAGGAAGCAGGAAGGGAAGAGAAGGAGGTGAAGGACAGAAAAGCTCCACCCTTTCAGATAGGGGTGGAGATACCCATCCCAGGTGCTATTCTCAGGTGTAACTTGGCCATCTTCATCAGCTATATGGCTTCCAGAGAGGACAAAGTTGGAACAGGACAGAGCAGGACAAACCTCTAGCAGGTGGCAGGCTCTTGCTCCTGCTTCAGGGGTCCTGCCTGACTCAGACATGTCAACTACAGGTGCAGGTGAACAAGCAGGTAGTGGCTCTGCCCTACAAGAAATATGGGGTGCAGGTATACGAATCTGGCATCAACTTTGTGGTGGACATCCCCAGGCTGGGTGCTCAAATCTCCTACAATGGCCTGTCTTTCTCCATCCGGTTACCCTACCACATGTTTGGCAACAACACAAAGGGGCAGTGTGGTGAGTCTCCTAGCTGCTTTCCTTGGAGGGCGAGACTGGGTGCGAGCACCTGTCACCTTGCTGTGGGTTCTCTGCTCCTCTGTGGACAGGCACTGTGGCACTGGCTTGGCATTAGCCTTTCCCTTTTGCCTGACCAGTGGGATGCAGGGAGCTTGGATTGGAGAAGGAGAGGTGCCAGGGCTTGACCTGAGTCTGATAGTGTGCTCTTGGTGCTGGCTTGATGGGTGGCTTCTCTGTACATAGGCACCTGCACCAACAATACTGCAGATGACTGCATCCTACCTAGTGGGGAGATAATCTCCAACTGTGAAGTTGCTGCTGACCAGTGGCTGGTGAATGATCCTTCCAAGCCACACTGTCCCCACAATGGCTTCACCACCAAGCGCCCAGCCACCACAACACCAGGGCTCTTGCCTAAGAACTGCACTGTGTCTCCTGTCTGCCAGCTCATCATGGACAGGTGACCCGAGGGAAGTGGAAAAGTAGATCAGGACAAACTTAGGCTATTGAGATCCTGCCTCAAAAAATGCAGGGTCTTGAGGTGTCATCTCTCTATTGTTCCTGCTGTCTACCAAGCAGGCAGAGCAGCACTTGTGTGGGCCTGGAGGAGCTGGGGTTGTCACTGTGGAATGGTGTCAGGTCACAGGGACCCCAGGACTTGACCTGTGACATCTCCACCCCAGCACCTTTCTTTGCTCTCAGACATCTCTCACCTCCTGGCCAGATGCAGGCTCAGCTGAATTGGAGACCCCAAATAGATCAACTGACCAGAGAGCATTAGCATACCAGGGAGGCAGGGTTGATTTTGAACACAGGTCAAGAACTCCTAAATCTGGTGGTAGCCAGAGGACATAAAGGACATAAAGCTAGGTGATCCTCTGCCATGATTGTTGGAAGGGGACATCCTGGTAACCAGTGACCATTCAGGTGTGCAGAATACATCTCTACATGCCTGATGTCACAGGCAAGTGTTTTGTCTTTCCTAGAGGCCAGCACTTTCTGTCTTCTGCTGCTGGTAGCCATAGTGCCTCTTTGGCAGGGGTTTCTGAGCAGGCTCCAGTAGGGTAGGGGGAGGACGGGGGAGCATGTGGAGAGGCTGGAATGCTGACCAGAGTGTGACCATCTCTCCCTGCATAGCCTATTCTCCCAGTGTCACCCCTTCGTGCCTCCCAAGCACTACTATGAAGCCTGCTTGTTTGATAGCTGCTTTGTGCCTGGCTCTGGTATGGAGTGTGCCAGTGTACAGGCCTACGCAGCTCTCTGTGCCAATGAAGGTACCTGCATTGACTGGAGGACCCATACCCAGGGTGCCTGCTGTAAGTGCCTCTCATCTCTTCCCATGTACTGCCCCGTGCTGGGGATCTGTGGGCCAGGCAAGGACACCAGGCAGCTCCCCATCCTCTGCTGGCATGGGATGAGTCTTGGGTGGGAAGGGCTGGGTAACTCTGTCACCGCAGGGAGGGGCAGCCTTCTCTCTCTCTGGATATGACCTTCCTGGTTCTTGTGCCCCTCCTGCAGCTGTGGAGTGTCCATCTCACAGGGAGTACCAGGCCTGTGGCCCTGCAGAAGAACCCACCTGCCAGTCTGGGTATGCTGCCCGATGACTCCTGCTCGTTCCCTAGTCCTGTTCATGTAGTCCAGTCAGCTTTAGCCCTGCTCCCAGAGCTGTGCTCCAGCCTATGTCACTCCTTCCTTCTGAGAACATGTCTTGCCCTTCCAGCTCCTTCCAGAATTCCACACTCTTGGTGGAAGGCTGCTTCTGTCCTGAAGGCACCACAAAGTTTGCTCCTGGCTATGATGTCTGTGTGAAGACTTGTGGTATGTCTCTTACCTCTACTGCCTCCCTCCTGTTTCCTCTGTCAACAGAGGCAGGGCCAGCAGGCATATCCCAGTTCATATCCCAGTTACCTATACTATCATGACAGTGTTAACAGAGTTTGTTTCCTCTTTTTTTCCTAGGCTGTGTGGGACCGGACTATGTGCCCAGAGAGGTAGGTAACCCCTTGTGCTGGGGTAATTCTCTCTAAAGTCATGAGCTTTGGGTAATCAGTGAAGTGAGGTGATACGACAGCCTGGAAGTCCCAAGGGCTGAGTCATGAGCTGTGCAAGTCCTGGGTGAGAGCCACTCACACATCCATCGCCCATTGGTGCATTTATCCATCAATCCATTCGTCACCTTGAGCTGTCTGTCATCCATTTAACCCTCTTGTTGTCATCCATTTATCCACCCACCCATCTATCCACTAACTTATCCATTATCTGTTCAACTACTCATTAATCTATCCAATACCCATCCATAATCCATTAATCTATCCAAACTATTCTAGAACAAAATAAATAAAAGACCCAGAGACAGATATTGGGGTTCAAGTTGAAGATCAGGGAAGTAAAGCACCTGGCCACTAGTTCTTAACTCTAGCTCAGGCTAAAAGGGATGATTCACACACAAGCTCTTCACCAAGTCTCAAACTGCTGCCTCTCCTCAGTGTGGCTGGAGAATGAATGCCTCCTATTGAATCCGGATATTGATTTATATACCTCTCATGAGTTCTGGGATTAAAGGTGTGAGCTATAATTCTCTTTTAGACTGATTCAATCTTGTGTAAGCTTGGGTGGCCTTGAACTCAGTGAGATCCATCTGCCTTTGTCTCCTGAGTCCTAGGATTAAAGGTGTGTGCTACCGTTGCCTGACTTCTACAGCTTGTGGTTGACTTTGCTTTTCTGAATCCTCAGTCGAGCTTTAATAAATCATAAGTCATATTTCTATAATATTCATTTGTACATCCATCTATTAGCCAACTGTGTAATCACCTATCCATATTCATCTCTTTCATCCCATCCATTGTCAATTTGTCATTCTTCTATCCATCATCCACCTATCTATGTTCATTGATCTATCCTTCATACCACCTATCCTCCACTCATTCATACATTCATCATTTACCCACCTATTCCACACCCATCAATCTATCCAAACCACCCATCCATCTAAACCATTAATCTTCCATCCACCCATCTAACTACTTATCCAACCACCATCTACCATCCATTTATTTTTCATTCATTCATCCATTCATTTACCCACCCTCCATCTATTCACCATCTACCCATCTACCCATTTATCTATTTTCTACCAATCCAAAAACCTACCAACTACCCATCCATCATTTACTTAAGCATCTACTCATCTCTCATATACCTATTCACCCACCCATCCAACTACCTATCTGCTATTCATTCATGCAACCAAACATCAATCCATCTCCATATATCCTTCTATCTTTCAAATCATCTACTCATCCATCAAACCATCCATTCATCTGTTCACCCATCCACTCACCAGTCATATATTCTGACTAAATGTGGGATGGCACATTGACTACTTCAGTGTTGTTTTCTGTGTGTGTTCACAGACATTGGTTGGTTCTTTAGTTCAATTAAAAAATAATCAATAGACAATGTGTGGTGTGTCTGTTGCATACCAGGAGGATGTTGGTGGGTGTTAGTGTGATATCTGTGTGATATCTGTGACCTGGAATGAACAAGTCCTAGCCTGTCCCTGAACCTTCCCTATGGGCTCAGAGGTGATGAGTGAGTGATACGGCATTTTCACTTGATCCCTAGTCCAGCTGTTTTCTCCCTGGCTGGCCATGGAAGTACCATATTAAGGCTAGCCTGATGTTAATCTGATCTTTCCTCTTTTCAGTTTGGAGAGCGCTTTGAGTTTGACTGCAAAGAATGTGTTTGCCTAGAGGGTGGAAGTGGTATTGTCTGCCATCCAAAGAAATGTACTGGGGGCACCCAGACCACATGTGAGGAGGATGGCACCTACCTTGTTGAGGAGGTCAACCCAGATGACAAGTGCTGTAACATCACCTCATGCAGTAAGGACACCTCGGGGCCGTGGGAGCCATTCTCAGACCACTGGGACCATGTCCTGTTGAGGCTCTTAGTGTAACGGAGTTTTCTGCTACCCCCTTGTTAGTTAGCTCAGGTTATACTCACTTGAGAGGGCAGTGGTAGTGGCTGTTAGATCAGACCAAAAGCCCCTGCTCCAAGTACTGCTCTTGGCAGGCTCCACAGGGGCCCAGATCTATGCCATGCAGTGGGAAATGGTGCTCTGCCTGTGTGATCCATCCTGGTCACCACACTCTTGTTCTGCCTTCAGAGTGTGACACCAAACGATGCAAAGCAGAGCGCCCCTCATGCATGCTGGGATTCGAAATGAAGATCAATCATGTGCCTGGAAAATGCTGTCCAGTTTACTCCTGTGGTAAGTGAGGCTAGCAGGGCAAGGGAAGGCAACAGACAGGGCAGGCTGTGGACCAGGGGCCAGTGGAGGGAGCATTCTTTCTTTTTGTGCATGATAAAGGTCATGGCTATGGCTGTGCATCTACCCAGTCCTGAGCCTCCTTAGGTGTGTGTGCCAGGCTGAGGCTCAGGATGGCCTCTGATGGCTTTTCCCATTCTTTCTTTCAAGAACCTAAGGATGTGTGTGTGCACCAGAATGCTGAATACCAGGTGAGTTCTAGATTGGGAGGGGACAGGGAGAATGGGTGGCATTGTCTGTCTTCTAAAATCAGAGGCTGCATGGGTGATGGTGTGTATGGTCCCCTTACTTCTGCCTGTTCCTAAAGCCTGGATCTCCAGTACATTCCACCAAGTGCCAGGACTGTGTATGCACTGATACCAAGGACAACGTCACACAGCTCAATGTCATCTCTTGTACCCATGTGCCCTGCAACACCACCTCCTGCAACTCTGTAAGTGTGACCCTTCCCTTCTCTCCCTCTTCCTGATTCCACTTACCCTCTTCCCATCTTCTAAGAGGCACATGGCTCCATGTTCATCTCCATGATTTCCTTGACACATTGTGCCTCCCACCATGGCTCTTGTTTATGGGCAGGCGCCTCCCAGGTGAGGTATTCCAGCGATCCCAGAACATGGTTGGTGGCAGGGACACATCTTAGATCTTAGCCTTGTCCTCTTCTGTGCCCACAGGGCTTTGAACTTGTGGAGGTCCCTGGGGAGTGCTGCAAGAAGTGTCAGCAGACCCACTGCATCATCGAGAGGCCCAACCAGGAGTACCTCATCCTGAAGGTGTGTGTTCACAGGCAGTGCTCCAGGCTTGTCAGCCAGTGGGCTTTAGTCATCCCAGGTCCTACATCACTCGGTATGGGTGAGATCTGAAGTTCAGGATCAAGGCTAGCAGTACCTGTGAGGAATCCTTCCTGCCTTCTTCTCTTTGGGCTCCAGGTGACACTGGTTGTGTTTGCATCTTCTCTGACTTTGTCTTTTCATGTATCAGCCTCCCTTCTATCTGAGCCCATGTGTCCTCTTGTGTCTCTTACAAGGATGCTCATCCCTGGAGTTAGGACCACCTTGATGTAGGACGACTTCATGTCCAGATTCTTTCCTTGAGATTTTCAAAGACCCTTTCCCTGTTCAGAATCATGTCCTAGTTCACAGGTTAGACGTAGATTAGAGATTTTTGTGTTATGTAACCACAAGCAGGTAAGTTCCTGTCTCCAAGATTCTCCTATGGGAGTCACTTGCCCAGTGACTCTGGACCTAAGGGATAGCCTCCTGTCTGTGAAGCTGTACCTCCCAGACCTTCCTGGACTGGTCTATGGGGGGTGTACTTGCTCATCCTCATCCCATGTGTGTCCACAGCCTGGGGACATACAGAAAAATCCCAATGACAAGTGTACCTTCTTCAGCTGCGTGAAAATCAGCAACCAGCTCATCTCCTCTATCTCCAACATCACCTGCCCTGACTTCAATCCCAGTGATTGTGTTCCGGTGAGTGGGATCCCTATAACACTGGCCGTGTGTGCTCTGCCTGATGCTCTAGCTGTCTGGTTTCCAGGAGGTTTGCTCCATAGTCTCCTGTAGGTCAGCTCTTACATACCCAAGGCAAGAAGGGGCACTCGCTGGGTGTGCTCTAAGCTTCCTTCTCATTCCTCTTTCCCTTCAGGGTTCCATCACATACATGCCAAATGGCTGCTGTAAGACATGTGAGTACAGCTGGAGAAGTTTAGGGTGGTGGGTGGGCTTTACCCAGAGCCTTGGGCAGAAAGACATATGGACAGGGCGACTCAGGACTATTGTCCTGCTGTGTCTCCTACTCTCATGTGCACATATTGGAATCCGAGTCTCCTTCCAAGAAGGGCATGTTGGGGCTCATTTCCTAAAAGAACAGTGGGACTGGGAGTTAAGGGCTATCCATGCTTGGAGAAGGGAGAGGACACAGCACAATGGGGGAAGGGAGGGAGAGATGGAGGGAGACAGGTGTGTGTGTGTGTGTGTGTGTGTGTGTGTGTGTGTGTGTGTGTAGCCAGTCTTAGACCACGCTCTGTACTTGCATCTCCTTCCACAGGCATCCCTAATAACCAGACCAGAATCCCTTGCTCCGCCATGCCTGTCATGAAGGAGATTTCCTACAATGGCTGCACCAAGAATGTCTCCATGAACTACTGTTCTGGCTCCTGTGGGACTTTCGCCATGTGAGTCCCAGGCTGCAAGTGTGAGATGGAAGGGTGGAGGAACTCATGGACAGACCCCAGTGAGGGAGGATGCTGATGCCATTCCCAGGGAGGCTGGCACTCATTCAGCTCTTCCTGTCCCCAGGTACTCTGTCCAAGTCCAGGATCTGGATCACAAGTGTTCTTGCTGCAAGGAGGAGAGGACCAGTGAACGCCAGGTGACCCTGGAATGTCCAGATGGCAGTGAGCTGAGCCATACCTACACTCACATTGAGAGCTGTCTGTGCCAGGACACTGTCTGTGGGCTCCCGCAGGCCAAGCAAGTCCGCACCAGACGTTCCAGTGCCTGGTTTCTGGGAAGGAAGTGAATGGGTTCTACCGTGCACATCCCTCCCCATCTTGCATCATTCTGCTGACTCTCTGTGCTTCCTCCACTTCTAGCTTGACTTCTTCTCTGCAGATATTTATTTTCAGAGTTTCTGTCCCATCCTTTGCTTTCTGATAATAAACTCAGGCATAGCCACTCTGGTTGTGTGGTTTAAGTTGATTCTGCCAGGGTCTGAGTTGCCCACTATGAGGATGATTTCTGGGAAATGGGTGGGGCTAGATAGTTGTGAGAGTCTTCCTCAGGGACCCCAGGGTCCAGTCACTGTTTTTTGCACACCACACACAATGTGACCCTACCATGTGTATCACTTTCCTTTGGGCTCTGGGGACAGTGTGTTCAGGTGTGAGTACACAGGTGTGCATGAACACACGTGTATTTCCATGTGTCTGTGCCTATGGTGTGTGTGTGTGTGTGTGTGTGTGTGTGTGTGTGACTGAAGAGGGCCCTGGCCACAAACTGGGGGCAGGGCATTCATTGGCTTTTGCCACAAACTGAAAGAAAAGCAGTGGCAACTTTGTGGACTGTATTGTTTACATCTGTGTTACCGTAATTAACACACCAAACCACTAACAGTATAAAGGAAGGAAGGGTTATTTTGGCTTAGGGTTTTGAGGGATCAGCCCATGATTGGTTGATCCTGTGCATTTGAGTTGGACACCAAAGCAGCAGAAACATGTGGCTGTGATAAGTTGCCCACAGCACAGCACAGCACAGCACAGGCTGATCAAGGCCAGGGATGATATCCTGCAAGGAGTCAGCCCCCTATAACCTTTAGCTAGGTCTAACCCCTCCCCACTGAGTATCCCCAGATAACACCCTTACCTTTCAATCTATGAGCCTTTTTTTGGGGGGGGGTATGGGGAGATACTTCATACACAAACTATAACATGGCTTCCCAAAGACTGTTGGGCAGAACTATCAAACCACATGGACCTACCTGCAATACTCTTAGCTTGGTTCAAACTCTCTCTCTCCCTCTCCCTCTCCCTCTCTCTCTTTCTGTGTGTGTGTGTGTGTGTATGAAGCCCGGTATCCTACCCAGAGTCCCAATATCATGAATTGGATTTAGCCTCAAAATCTAAGGATTGACATTTAAAAGAAAACTTTCTAACATGTATTAGTCAGGATGCACTCTGTCCGCAGCAATGACAAAAACTGCCAAGTGTCGGAGGCTTACAACAGCATGAGGCCTGTCTTCCTCATGTTTCCTGTTTGATGCTTGGCTGGCATCCTACTGCACATCTCAGCTTCCCAGAACCTGGGGTGACAGGGCAGCTTTCATCTCCAAGGTCTCTTCTGTGGTGGTTAAAGCCAGCTCAGGAGTCTTCCCAGAATACATCCTTCAGGTCCAGTTCAGCACAGATTTTTGGATGCTGGGATTGTAATACTACCATTGAGCAGCTGGGGGAGCCAGAGACACTTGGTGGCTGTCCAGTGATGGCTCTTAAATGGATGCAAGAGAAAACCCAAATGGCCTCCCTTTGGAAAGAGAAAGTGTGTGTGTGTGTGTGTGTGTGTGTGTGTGTGTGTGTGTGTGTGTGTGTGAGCGTGCACTTGCTTTCATGCATGTGTGCTCACATAGAGACCAGAAGACAGTAGTGAAGACAGTTATGTATGTGTTTGTGTTGTGTGTATATGTGTGCACACATGTGTGGGTGTACATGGAGGGCAGCAGTCAACCTTGGGTGCCATTCTTTAGGTTCTGTCCATCTTGTTTTTGAGACAGTCTCTTCACTGAACTTGGGGTCATACTAATTAGGCCAAGCTAGCTGGCCAGCAAGTTCCAAGGGAATCTCCTGTCTCTCCCTCCCCAGCTTTTTGCACGTTTTCTGGGGGATTGAATATAAGTATTTATGCCTGATTGCAAGTACTTTGTTGGCTGAGCCATCTCTCCAAGGTTGGAGGTGTTTATTAGTTTCTACAAATGTAAAACAATATCATATTACTTGGATATTTGCAAATGCAATAAACATAAAAACATTTGAGGTCCAGTAAGATCATTCAGGGGTAAAGACAACTGCCATCAAATCTAGAAACCTGAGACCCACATAGGTGAAGGAGAGGACTGACTTCCAGGAGTTGTCCTCTGACCTTGACACATGTGTGGTGGCACACATGCAGCCCCCACATAAACAAACGAATGAATGTAATAAACACTTGGAAAGCACTAGACTCAGGATTATGACTTTGTCTGTGGTGAGATTGAGAGGGGGCAACTCTGACTGTACTATGTTATTCCCTCAAGGAAAAACACTGCAAAGCAAAACTGGCTACTTGCTAACTTAAGGGGTGGTGGGGTCCATCTCGCCATCCTTTGCCCTTAAAGTTTAAAGTCACTCATATGAACAGCTGGGGTGCCATAGACTGCCCAGACCCCCGTTGACACCCACATTCAGGGGTCCTGGTTCAGTCTTATGCTGGTTCCAGAGCTGTCAGTCTGGGGTCCATGTGCTCCCACTTATTCAGGGCAGCTGTTTCTGTGGATTTCCCCTGCATGGTCTTGACCATTTTTGCTCATCACTCCTTCTTCTCTACAACTGGATTCCAAGAGTTCAGCTCAGTGCTTAGCTGGCAGTATTTATCCCTAGTGCGCAAATAGGCTTTGAGAGCCCATTCCTTATGGAGGGATACTCTCTCGGCCTAAATACAGGGGGCAGGGCCTAGGTCCTGCCCTAAATGATGTGACAGACTTTGATGATCCCCATGGGAAACCTCACCCTCTCTGAGGAGTAGATGGGGGGTGGGATGGGAGGATGGGAGGGAGAGGAAACTGGGATTGGTATGTAAAATAAGATTGTTTTTAATTTAAATAAAAGTTAGTTTGAAAACAAACAGCTGGGGAGCCAGTGAGTGTATACTGGATCACCAGCAGGGGGAGCCAGAACACACACACACACACACACACACACACACACACACACACACACACACACACACACTGGGCCACCGGCATGGGACACTGAGGCCACATGGTCTTGAGCCACTTGCTTTTTCTTCTCTGCTTGACTAGGTCTTGTCATTCTGGTCCTTCTGCCCCTCCTCCATGGCCTGAGCTACACAGACTGAGTTTAACATCAGTGGCCAGAAACAAGGGCTGAGTAGGACCTGTGTGGAGGGAATGGGTTCTGAAAATGTCATAGTACTGGCAGACCATTCATGGAGAGACAGAATGTGCAGAAGGAATGGTGTCCAGTCAGACCCAGTCTGAAGAAATCTGTCAGCCATACTAGCAAACCACCCTCTTTCTGAGCCCCTGAGAGGAGCCAGGTTTTCCCTGTGACTTCAAACCCTCTCTCTGCTATGGCTCTTGTCTGCTTTGGCTGAATTGTATGTACTGTGGAAAAGTCACACATTGAAGCCATGGCTTCTAACACCTCTGAGCAACTGTTTAGAAAGAGGGTCCTTTTCTTTGGGATTTATTTGTTTTTTTTTTTTTATTTTATATGTGTGAGTGCTTTGCCTGCGTGTAAGTATGTGCACTACATGCATTCCTGGTGCCTTCAGATGTCAGAAGAGAACATCCGATCTCCCAGAACTGGAGTTACAGATAGTTGTGAGCCACCATGTATGTGATGGGAACTGAACCCCCATCCTCTCCAAGGACAAGTGCTCTTAACCATTGAAACATTTATCCATCCACTGAAGACATTTTTAAAAAAGATGACTAAATAACAATGAGGTTGCTATGATGGGGCCTAATCTAATTGACTATGGATTAAGAGGAGTTCAGGACATGGACACTCAGTATGACCACATGAGGACACTGTAAGGCAAGGAGAGAAGCTTCAGGAAGATCCAGCCCCATGACGCTGCACCCTGGCTGGTGCTTTGTAATAGTGTCCTGAGCTGATGACTCACACACTCAGCCGTTTGGGGCAGGGAACCCAGGAGCATGGAGCATGGCCCCCAAGAAGCCATGGATGTGTCTAGCTGGTATTGTCAGTATTCTTACAGAGAAAATGCAAGGACAACAGGAGTGGTGTTTACAAGAGAGACTGTATTCAGATCTTATACTGAGGTCACAACACTCAAAATCTCCACTGCCTTCTCAGTGACAGTGTCCAGGGGCTTGTCACAGATACAAGACTGGATGCATCAGCAACCCCATGAGACCTTGGCATTGAGCTAGAAGATAGCAGGGACTGCCTGCCTGGTCACCTTGGCTCAGGGGCCCCTACAGTTACCCCAAAGGCCTCATGATCCTTGAAGCCCCAAATGTGTTGTGAAAGTCTTTGGTGTTATTCTACTGTTTTTGGCTTTAGATTGGTCCCTGGTCTTTGGGACATCCAGCTAGCTTGAGATGTTGTCCCCTCCACATCTTGAAGATGAGGTTGTGATCAGGACCATGCCTACCTCATGAATCTGGGTGTCATTTCACTGTCTCAGGCCCAAAGCCAAGTCTGAACCTGGCATGTTTTAGCATGCAGACCCTTTCCACATAGCCTCTTTCTCTGCACAGGCTTATGTAACATGGCCCAACAAGACAGCTTCCATAGCACATTGTTGAAAAGTGTCTTTTTGGTGGCAAGGCTGTTGGAATCTTCTCATCTCAGGGGCTGTAACCAGGACACAAAATGCTGCTTATTGGGACTTGGTGGTTTTCTGGGTCAGTGAGTCACCTAATTGTCTTCACACTTCCTGTGCAGATGAGGGTGGCTCCTACCAGCCGAGGGACACAGATAGTGGCTTGGCTGTCATTCTGCACCTGTGATTTTTGTTCTTCAACTTTAGGGGTCTCCAGGGTTCCAAGGTCATCTGACCCCTTAGTTCTGGGCTCTGGGTCTTGCTCCTGGGCTAAGGCGGTTGTAACTAGGGTCCTTTCCTTTACTGTTGACTCTGTTGATCTAGCTTCAGCCTCTGGGTAGAGGGACAGGGATAAAGTCGGTCAGTTGTGTTCATCACAGTGACAACTGTCCCTTCATAGGAGCTGAGGCAGGCTCCACGCATGGACACTGGGAACTGCAGTCACAGGACAAGAGAGTGGCCAGTCCTGCAGCAGGAGACCCGAGAACAGTGTAGGCCAGGTTAACAGAGGGAAAATAAAGCCTTCCTTCTGGCCTATCTGGTTGCCATGGTGACCGTCCTGCCTTGCACTGGGCACTGCTGGATACACTGACCCTACACTGACCACTCTG